AAAGTGGTAAGTGTCCTAAGCATGAGAAGGGACTTCAGATGCTGAATAGCCAAAAATGACCCTGCTTAAACCTCTGCCTATAATCCCATGGGAGAGGATGTGTGGGTTCATAGTGCTGGCCTTTGAGAGAATTGGGAATCAGTAGAGTATATGCATTCTAGCCCTGAGCCCAGTATCCGTTGGCCTGAGGAGCAATTCTTGTAGGCTGCAAAACCAGACAGCCTTTTGTCAGAGCAAAAGGAAAAGATGAATCCTTGTCTGTCCCCCTCTCTCTTGCCAGAGTGTCCTCCTGGGCCCGGGAGAGGAGGCAGCAGGGAGGCTCAGATGGCCTGCCCTCTCAGACCTGGATCAACCCTGCCTGCTCCAGCCACTTTTCTCATACCTGTAGGAAGGAAATGAAAGCTGCTACCATTTAAAAACAAAAGACCAACTTTTGTGTCAGAAGTTTGTGCCTTTGGTTTTGACCTCTGACTGCAGGTTTGCTGCTTATACCCTGATTGCCTATATCCTGACATGTGACAGCCTACTGGTCTCTGAGCACGAGGCTGCTGCCTAAGATGGCGATCGTGGGCAGGAAGAGGGGACATATGTGTTAATCAGCCACCCACAGTTCTTGGGCTTCAGTGGCAAGGCCACAATTTCCTCTCACTGATATGTCTAGAAGGGATTTCTAATCTGTGGTTCATCTTTTGTTTGTTTGTTTTAGTCACCTATCCATTAAGAGAGTTGGTTTAAAGAAAAAATAAATAAATAAAAAATGGAAAGTCTTTTTTTTTTTGAGTCATCTAATTATTTATTCCCTGATTTTGGAAGAGGTCATGTAACCTCAAGCATAGCTCAAATTAGAGGACGAGCCACACTGCCAGGCAGTCCAGCAAGTCATTCTTAGGATCTTCCCCTGGGCCCTCAGTGACAAACTGTTTTTCTTTATCCCTTTCCTTGGGATGTGATTGGGAAGTGACCTCTGGGCAGGGTGGGTACTTCCAACAGTCTGACTCTAGCCTGGGGAGACAGGATAGGGTGGCAAGTGGAACGTAGCTCTTTTCCATTCTTTCCTGTACTCCTCACCACAAATTTAGCTCCCACCCCACACACATTGTTCCCAAGATGGTCAGAAGCCACTCAAGAAGGCTTTCACAAAGCCTCTGGGCGGTAGAAAACTTTGGAGTGCCCCCTTTTTTAATAGGGTCACCGAAAGCTGACACATTTAGAATCTATTAGTGTAGTTCATCATAAAAAGGACTGCAGTGAGCCAAGTTTAAAACTAGGGTTCTGAATTCCTTAGAGGACAAACATATAAAATAGTCAGAAAACCTGGGCATGGTGGTGTGTGGCTGTAATCCCAGCTAAAGGGGAGGCTGAGTTGGGAGGATCGCTAGAGCTCCTGAGTTCCAGGCAAGTCTGGACAACGTTACAAGACTCCCTCTCAAAAAAGAGAGAAGGGAAAGAACAGTGAGAGAGGGAGAAGGAGAGGGTAAAAACTAAACTCACGTTTTTGGTACTTCTGATTGTTACTATGTTTTTGGTTGTGGTTGTGGCTGTTGTTGTTTTGGGGGGCAGAATTCATGTCTACGCACCTGCAAGGCAGGCGCTTACACTACTGAGCTAAATCCCCAGCCCTGCTGCTATGGTTTTTACAGTCCTAACTTAAAAATTTGATAAATTTCACTTAGAGTTGAGCATGAGGAACAAGATTACATTTCCTCATGGGCTGATATTATTTCCTTTTTCTTTTTTAGACAGTAAGAATGACATAACCACTTTTGTTTCCCTTTTTGATTTAATTGTCAGGAAGCCCAGACTTTAATTGAGGATCCATTTACAAAATTATCTTCTATCTGGTTTTTGGTCATCTCCTTCCTCTATATGGTTTCTCATCTCTCTTTTCATCTCTAACTGTCTCAGCTAAGATCCAGGTCCAGAACTTGACCTCACTCTCCCCGTCTACCCAGATTCATTGGAGAGACCAACTCACAAGCTAACAAACACAGAATTACTAGCAGAATTATGCAAATGTTAACTTGGATTTTAGGGACTGAAGAGGTAGACAGATCATTGAAGACTAGAGGGGGCGAGGAAAGCTTTCTGACAGAGGTAGTACTTACAGACAGCTCTGAAGGCTTGGAGTTAATTTCAGGACTTCACCTCATTGGATCGACTATATGTTTTGATTTGGATTATAGAAGGCTTTGGGACAAGAACCAGATACTCTGCCTGGGTGAGTCTTTCATCAGGTTCTGAAGCTCTCCAAGTAGCCAGTTCCTAGGTTTCCTAGCAACTATGTGGGAATGTTACTTCATTAGTAAACTGGGAAGTAGGTAGAGCTAGTTTGAGTGCTACTGGCATTTTGGATGGGACATTTCTTCATTAGAACTATCCCACCTGGGGCTGGGGATTTAGCTCAGCAGCATAAGTGCCTGCCTTGGAAGCACGTGGTTATGAGTTCGATCCCTGATACTGATAAAAAAAAAAAAGGAGCTATCTTACCTTTTGCAGTACATTTAGCATTGTGATCTCTGCCTATCAAATGCCAGTAACAGTTCCCAATCATTGGTATAATCTCAAATGCATACCTGCTTGGTGAAGTATGCTGCACCACACAGGTGGGACATCGCCTCATTCCCTCAACTGTCTGACAGACTCTTCTCCAGTCTGCCTCCCACAAGTGAGATTTCTGGATTGCTATGATTTCATTGTGTACCCTGAAGGTCACGTGCTTGAAACATAACAGTGCAACAACATCAAGGGGCAGGACCTTTAGGATGTGGTTAGGTCATGAGAGGTCTGTTATTGTGGGAGCAGATTAGTTAATTTGGGCATAAGTTCCTGTTAAAAGACTGAGTTCAGTCTCCCCACACTCCTACTATGTTAGGGTACAAGCAGGATGCGAGTGAATTCAGGCCTCTGATCTAGGACTTCTCAGCCTCCAGACCAATAACCTTCTCCCTCACGCCCCTGCTTTTTTTTTGGTACTGGGGATTGAACTCACAACCTCATGCTTGCCAGGCAGGCACTTATGCCACTGAGCTAAATCCCCAGCCCCCCCCCTTTTTTCCCTTATTAAAAAAACTTTCTAAACTGTCCAATCTGTGGCATTTTGTTTTAGCAGCACAACATACACTACAGATTCAGAAAAAAAAAAGAAAAGAAAAGAAAAGAAAAGAAAGAAAAAAGAAAAAAAAGAAACGACTTCTTAGTGCAAGTGTGTCCCAAATATTGTGTGATTTTGGGTTCTAAAATCTAACTTGGAGCGTCTTTCATTTTATCTGGAAGACCCACTCACAGCCCTTTACCACTGCAGGAGGATCTGCCTCCCAGAACTTCCCAGTGTTTTTGTGTGCTGAGTCCTTTTTTTTGTACCTGTCCAGATTCCTCTATTCTGTATTTCACACCTTCAGGTTTATTCTCTGTGCTAAGTCTCGGAGGGATGATAAACAGTTTTAATTAGATGAGCAAATTCTTCCTAATATGTAGGCTGCTTGTCCCATTCGGGTAACATCTTTCTTTAAGTGAAAGTATGGGGCTGTCCCCAGGGACCTCACACTGACATGTGGAGGCTGGTGAAGGAGAGAAGAACCATTCTTCAGGCACATGGCTGATGCCCTGGATCCTGGATCTTACCAATTCTTACCTTTGGTTGCACAGGGAGAGTTTTAAATGCTACCGAGACCTGGTCCTTCCCTGCTGACTCTGACCAAATTATTCTGGGGTGGAGCCAGGGCATTGGGATCTTTTTTAAAATTTTAAATCCATATCCTTTCCCAGGATGGTTCTATCAGACAGCCAAGGTTAGAATCACTGTTTTGCTTCCTGAGATAAGACAGAGGAAAGAGGGAGTGAGACAGAGGAGGGGAGGGAACAAGAATGCATGAAACCTGATTTCAGGTGCTCTGCTTGGCAGTGGTAATTTAGGACATTCCAACCAAGCCAGAAAGAACATTCCAGAAAGCAATATACTCTGTATGTGTTCCACTGTGAACAAAACAGATGTGAAATGATACTCCTGAAGAACTGAGGAAGTGCTTTGCTTACGTGCCAGACCTTGTCCTGAGAGATGCCCCAGCTTACCAAAAAAAGTCTAGAGAGAGTCCCAGTTTGCTTTGCTGCCCAGTGATTCTAACCCGTGCCAGGAGCAGTGCTGGAGCCAGGCTGCTCACACGCACAGCCTTGCTAGTGTTGGCTGAGAAGCAAACTTCTGATGTCACCGTGGGCACCTCGGTGAAAGAGGCTCCCCTCTTGGCTCTCTGCGGGCAGTGAGCCTAAGTTGTCAGTCGTGGTCCTTTAGCACACTCCTGCCTGGCCTCTGACAAGTAGGTCAGCATAGACATGACTGCAGCCTCCACCGAAAGCTGCTTGCTGCTGGCAGGAAGCTGCTTCTGCAGAATTAAAAACCATCAGAGTTGATCAAAGGAAGTGCAGGGCAAGCTGGCAGGCGGGCCAGATCCTAATCTCTGCTTGCTGGCCTCACACATCACTGCACATGAGTCACCCGCTGAGCTCAGCGGACATGCTGTTTGGATTAAGCTTTTACGGGTGAGCTCTGCCAAACTTGCGTTTGCTGTCTTGCTGCACAGAGCAGCCGAGAAGCAAGAAACACGGGGTAGATGTGATTGCTCAGGTGCCACAGAGGAGGCTGCGGCTCCCCAGGCTCAGGAGGTGGCTGTGGATGCTGGTGCCCCAAGCCCTACTTCTCAGGTTTGCTTCACAGACCCTATCAGGAGCAACCACGCCCACAGCAGGCTGCAGGTCCTTTCTCTCAAGCCAGCTCACCAATTAAGATGTACTATTCTACGCACACATTTTGCCTTCACTCCACCATTTGTTTCTCCACCAGCAGGAATTCCTTTTCTCAAAAGTAGGCAACGCATCACCACTCAGGCATCTTGCCTCAAAAGCAGCAGAGTCCAGCGAAAAAGGGAGGGAAGTCAGAAAATAAAAATTCCTAAATTAAGAGCCAACCCATAAAAACAGGGCTTCCCTTAGTGCCTGGCTGGCGTGACATCACTGTGAATTGCTCAGTGAAGATGGTGTCAGAGCTGCTCAACTGTATGTGGAAATTTCTCTCCAGATATAAACATCTGCAAAAAATAAATAGGGATGGAAAAGCTCCACCCTGAGGTAGGATTTTGTGGGCTGCCATCAGAGGGGTGGACTTTTCTGGGCAGAGAGCAGGGTAGGATTCTCTTCCAAGCAGGATCTGGATCCTCATGAATGGTAGTAGATAGAACCCAGTGGTTTGTTTTGCTTCCTTCTCTGGAAGCAATGGTGGGAACAGGACTGAAATCCTTTGTTTCAGATTCTGCCAAGTTTTGCTTCTGTGCATGGTAACTTGGGAAGAAGCAGCCCCCGTTACTTTGTAAGCCAAGCATTCTTGGCTTGTTGTTTCTGCTGGGATTCTCTTTAGAGTGCTTTTGACTGTCATTTATTAAAGGCATCTAAATGGAGGTGGAAGTCCTAACAATTTAAAAATAAATGTTGCCCCCAGTCTGTCTACTGCTCTTCACCATAGACCGCCATAGACCGCCAACTTCTGAACTTACCACTAATCATTTTGTTGTCTTTTCTGGTTTTTGTCATTGATCTATAATTCTCATACTAACCAAACCTTGTCATGACATTTTCCCTCCTTTATTCCCTTAACATTTTCACTTAAAAATAGAAATAGAGACAGAAAGTGCTACCCTCTACAGCCTTGAAGTTACTGAAGTACATCACAGCAGTACGGCACAGTGGCTAGGGTGTGACTGTTATGAAAAACCTTTTTGAGCCCTGGCTTTGGTGCTTATTAGTGGTATGATCTTCAAACAATTTTCTTAATTCTTCACAGCTACAATCTCCTCATCTATAAAATGTGGGTAAAATATTCCCAACCTCACTGGTAAAGATTAAATGAGGTAAGACAAATAAAACGTTGAGTAAATTTCCTGGCACCTAGTAAACACATACAAATTACTACATATATTATAATAATTACCCTGTAACCAGTATTATATAGCTAATGGTGGTAAGCTTAATTGGAATCTGCAGTCAACAGTTTTTCCTCCTGAAGTCCTTCAATGCCCAAAGTTAGTTTGATGAATCAAAGCAATTTGCTTGGGGTGCCTGTGCTTGATTAGAATTGTCCTCATTCTTTGTTAGGAAAAATCATAAGATAGGAGGAAAGGATCATTTGTAAGTGATTTTAAAAAAGGAAGTGGGCTAGGGGTATAGCTCAGGCTCAGCAGCAGAGTACTTGCCTACAATATGGGAGATCCTAGGTTCAATTCCTAGCACGTACACACACACACACACACACATGCACGTGCGTGCACCTACATATATTTATACTTGAGGGATTCTTTTCTATAATTAGAAGGAGAAAAATTCCATAACTCTTGACAGTTTATTGTGGATAGGGCACAGAGATTGTAAATTCAGTGCCTAGTAAAGATTATTAAAAGAAGGGAAGTCCCAGGGAGGAATTTGATGTGGCCCAGTATACTGAAAAAGCACAGTGACCAGTTCTTGGTGTAGCAGGGTGATGAGCATAAATACACAGCAGTAGATAGTATTTCCAGTGCACATGTAGGCCCTGGGCATAGTTCCCAGGTGAGAAATGTGATTGGAGTTGTTCTGCATGGCAAACATAAAGACATATATTTACTTAATTGGGTAGGAAATGTTGCATTTAGCAAGACTCCTCCCACTCACATGGATTTAGACTAAGACTATTATCCTTCGTGTATGTTTGTGTGTATGTGTGTGTGTATGACAGAGAGAGACAGACAGACAGACAGACAGACAGACAGACAGAGAGACTGAGAGACAGAGAGAGAGAGAATTGTTACTCATAGGTGATCAAAGGTAATCAGAAGAGTAAGATGAGCTGAAATCTATTGATGTCATAGTAGCTGAGGAACCCAGAAAGGAGCAAAAACTAGAGAAATGAAATCAGCTATGGATTAGTCTTGGAATTATCTAGACATATAGCATGATTTCTGAGTAACTCAGATTATGGGAAATGCATTTCTGTGGATAATCTGTATCTTATAATGTGCTGTCTGGGGAAGGGAGCAAAAAATCGGGTGAATCCCGTTGAATGGGGTATTGTGGAGGGGTTCCCTCAGAACAAAAGCACACGACAGCTTGGATAATTTTGTCCTTCTTGCTCACTGCTCTGTTCCCAGTGTGCACATCAGTACAGCTTCCCTGCATCCCCCTTTGGGTTAGTTTCCTACTGCTGGTGTAACAAAGTATGACGGTGACTTCAAACATTTGTTACATGCTTGGCCTTGAGTCCCTAAGTCCTAAAGTCAAGGTATCCATCGGGCTTCTTTCTTCTGGAGGCTCCGGGAGACAGCATTTCTGGGTCCTTTTCTGCTCCCAAAGACTGTCTTGGCCCTTCCTGGGTTCACTCCAACCTCTGCTCCCGCACTCCCATCTTTCCTGCCTCTGTCTCTCTCACCTTCCTCTTTCCCTTATAAGGAACCTGTGATTACATTGTTCTTAGGGGGATAATCCAGGATAATCTCCCCATCTCAAGGTCTTTTAACCTAATCACATCCACAAAGTCCATGTAAGGTAATACAGTCACAGGTTCCCGGATATAGACATTCTCAGGGATCATAATTCTGCCTACTCTAGCCGGAGGCCACCACCAGTGTCTCATCAAGGGAAGATGCAATCCCTGAATCATAAGCCAGGGTCCACCATGTGGTGAGCAGAGGTCCCAGCTGTGTGTGGACTTTAGGAGCAGCAGAAAATAAAAGAACAAGCTGCATCACAGACTGGCACGGGAGAGGAGAAACCAACTCTCTTCCTGCAAATATACTGGATGAAGGCAGTAGCTAGCGGCAGTGGCAGAGGGTAGATTTTACTACTATGAATACAGGCGCTGTGCAGGCAGCAGACACTCAGGTTACAGCTCTTTTCCACTGGGATGGGGGTTGCTAAGAATCTGAGCCACTTTGTAATGTGCAATGCCTGGCTAATGGCAGGTGCACAATTCAGTAAAAGCTATCTATTATTAATACCGGAGGGATGGGGGATGGAAGGACCCAGAGCCCCAGCTGCCTGGAGAGGCAGGTCACACAGCTCTGACCTTGGAGGAAGAGGAAGAAGATCTGCCAGAAGGGAATAAGGTACGAGGCAGGTGTGCAGAGGTAGAATTTCAAATGCTCTTTATCTTAATTTCTTCCCACACAAGCTAGGAGGAAGCATCTGGCAAGTTCTTTAATGAAACTTGGAACTTGCTGGTGCAGTCGAGAAGGAAATATTTCTGTGGTTTTTCTGTGGGAGAAGAAACTAATAAATCTTTCTGTTGTTGAAGGAACACCTTTCAGTGGTGTAGCTCTGAGACGGATATATTATTCTTAAAGTGTACGTGCTTAAAAATTTGCTAGCGTCAGGCTGTTGGGAACCATCATGCAGATCCTGCAGGGTACGAATAAAGTCCAGGAACAAAGCAGAAATGTAGGAGCTGGGATTTACCAACAGTAACACTCATAAAGAATGGACATTTAAAAAGAGGCATTCCTATTAGAACAGACGGGTTTTCTGGGTGAGCAGCAGTCCTGAAAATTGTACCTGTGGTTTTCCCGAGAGCTTCTACTCTGCAAAGGAGCATTCGGTGACTTGTGCCCACTCTGCTCAGCAGTGTGTGGCAGAAGAAAAGGTGGAGATCTTGTTCTTAAGAAGCTTCTCATTCTGCACACATGTGTTGAGTCCCTGCCATATGCCTGACACTGTTCAAGATGCAGGGAAGGATGCAGTGGTGACCAAAGTGATGACAGATTATGCATATGTGTCAGGTAGAATAAAAATATGTAGCAGGCTGCCGTAAGGAGTTAGGAATTAACTAGGCAGAATAAAGTGTTTGAGAGTGGTGGGAGGCCTGGTCCCTCGACCCGGAGATACTTATATAGAGACCTGAAAGGGGCGATATGGGCAGAAGTGGGTAAGTCATGAAGACGTTTAAAGGTCCCAGGCGGAGGGTGCATCTATCAAAGCAGGTGCCAACAGTCCCTGTTTTCATGAGTGCTGGGTGCCCTGCTGGCTGGTTATAGCGTCTGTGACTCTTGCTCAGCACAGCCCTCACCCACAACTGCAGCTCTCGGCAGCTCCTTTGTGTAGTGTGACCTAATCCCTGGCACACTCTTGCGTAAGTGCTGAGAACCTGGAAGAGAGCAGTAACAAGAAAGCACATGAGTTTCTAAAAGGCAAATCAGCCATACATTGTGGCTGACTGTCTACGAGGGCTGACCTGGGTTAGGGCCACAGGTAGCACCGCAAAGCCTGTGTGGGATCTTGGTGATTGGGATGGATTTATTTGCCTGTCTTTGAGGCAAAGCTCCAAGCCATGTTCATGAAATCCCTACTTTTTCTGCATTAAGTCAGCTGAACGTGGCCTCCTTGTTGCTCTCTGGAAAACAGATATGCAGATTAGGTGCAGGGCTTGCAAAGGAAGAGCACACAGCAAACAGAAAGGCAGATTGCGTCTGTGTGAAGCAATAGTTTCCCTCTGTTACATATGCATACAAGTCTGATCGGTAGACATGCAAACTGGATTTCCCAAAGCTCTTCTGTTGAATGGTGTCTATTTTTAAGGTATCTTTACATGAATCCCAGGGGTTTATGTTTTGACAGTAGAACTTTAAGTGATAGGTGTAAAGTAGTTCTTCAAAAAACGTAGTTTTCAACTGAGGAAGAGATGATGCTTTAAAAAAAATAACCTGAATATCTAGGAGAGATGGAACAAAGTCAAGCTCTAACATGCTTCTCAATCCAAGCTCTGAAAAGTTCTGCGCCTGAGTGCTTCTCCCCAGAAATAAAAAGCAAGTAGCAATGTACTCAGGGCCAGGACAGTGCATTTTTTCTCCTGGAGAGTTTGTGAATTTTCAAACTGTTTCTCTGCTGATGGAGATTTCATAGAATGAGAGACACAAAGAGTTTTACACAGTTTACTGCACTAATTCTAAACGCTACTGGATACCTAATACTGACACCAGATGCCACTGGCACTGAATAAGTACTAGAGCTTACAGAGGTTGTATTAGGAAAGGAGGTCCTTATTAGCTTCAGATGCATGTTGAAGTATTTATGAGTGAAAGGATGTTGTGTCTTGGATTTGCTTTTTAAAA